ACCCAAACCTGAACCCCAAACCCTAAACCCTAAACCCCAAACTAAACCCCAAACCCCCAAAACCCAAAACCCAAAACCCTGAACCCTGAACCCTGAACCAAAAACCCTAAACCCTAAACCCTAAACTCTGCACCCTCACCCCGAACCCCGAACCCTGAAAGCCCGAACCCCAAAACCCCAAACCCCCGAACTTTAAACCCTAAACCCTAAAACCCTAAAATCCCGAACCCCGAAACTCCCGGAACCCCAGAACCCCCGGAACCCCTAGAACCCCGAACCCAGAACGCAGAACCCTAAAAACCCTAAACCCAACCCCCATACCCCAACCCCCAAAACCCTAAACCCAAAAACCCAAAAACTGAAAACCCTACCTTCCAAAACCCTAAATGCTGAATCCCCAAACCCCAAACCACTAAAATCCTAAACCCCTAAAACCCTAAAACCTTAAACCCTAAACAACGCGCTCCTACAAGATGCCTTGAAAACTTTCCTTTCATAGGTGATGAAGTCATTACACTATTTATAAAATAAATAAAAAAAACCAACAAAGCCCCTAGCCATATTTAAGTTCAAAATTGATTTTAAGGTGACTAAAATAAATTCATTATACAAAAAATTTATGAAAGGATAAAGATGCCCTTCAATAATTGAAGAACAATGAAAAGAACCCTATGAAATTATCAATCCAGTCCTATAGGCTAGTTAGAATGGTTTTTGTCTTAGGAGCAAGAATATAATTACACTATTATATTCCACAATAAATCACACTTAATATATAGTAATTTTCTTATATAGTTTAGCTTTTTTTTTTTATTATTTGCAAAATCACTATTTTTTTTCCTTTCTTTCCTCTCTTTTTTGGTTGAAAAACAGCAAGAAGCCTCCATCACAAAACTCAATTAATCATTAATTGCTTCTTTCTTTGCTAAAATGGACAGAAATACAGAGTTCTCCATTAGTTTTTACCTTATTTCTATCCAAAAAAGGCAATTAAACATAGAACTTGAATTTTCTTTTAATAAAATAAAGTCCATTGTAACGAATAACAATATATACTTTAATATTTCCTTTTTTGACTAAAACATATTGGAATTTGAGTTTTAGTATTAACACATTTTATTGAGGAGATAAGTGAACAATAGAGTGTTTGATTACATTGCTAGCGCGCAAGAGGGCTTTAGGAAATCACTCTCGGCCAGCTTCATCAACATGGAACGAAATGCCTTTAACGGGCTTAGTGTAAAAGGAAGCCTTTCTACAGCGAGTCCAGAAATAAAAATATAAATAAAAACCTGGTAAATATAATTTTTGATGAAATCATAAATGAAAAACCTTTCTACGTTTTCCAATGCTAAATATCTGGCAAAAATTGATGATGGCGGATCACATTTGACTGAATCTTGCTCTGGATATATCTAGGCACACATAAATATTAAGTTTTCGTCCAAACAGGTCACATTTGGTTGTGATTGAAACAAAAATGGTGAAAAGAAATATTGCATTACAATTTTTTTCATCATTAATTAAATACCTTTGCAAAATAGCAAAGGCACCGTATTGATTTGCAGAGTTTTCCTGGGATCATATTACACTCTGCCCACGTTTGAGGAGGGGGGGGGGGGGGGGGGGGGGGGAATTTTCTGAATAATTGACCCTTGCTTGACCATCTCATTCTCTCCTTACTGTACAAAGGGCTATCTACATGTCTAATTCAGGACACAGTATCTGAACATTAAAAGTGAGAGAAGAAATCTTAATTTATAGTATAATTTAATTAGAGGTTAGAATATACCAACCCTTTACCACGTATTTTGACGACTTTTTTTTATAAAAAAAAAAAAAAAAGAGCATTGCTCTGCCATACCCTAAATAGCAAATTAAGCAGTGCATGAAACTCGGTTTAGATCCAAATTTCTTGTTGTCAAATGTGAGGAAGGGAGTGATGCAAGGGGCCAGAGAGGAAATTTGCAGGAGTCTAGTGGTTGATTTTTGTGCATGCATGGTATAAAAGACGAGGGTAGGCGCAGCATTCAAGATGTAGAAGAAGGTAAATCTATCTTCTTCCATTGCTAGGGACAGAAGAAACTGAGATTTAATTAGTTGTGTGAAAGGGAGAAAGAGGAAAAGGGTTACTGTTGATAAATATATATATATATATATATAACCCGATCGAAAGGCACACAAACATATCAGAGAGATGGCTGGGGTGATGTTTTTGGTTTTGCTCTGCATCTCTGCAGGAACAATGGTGGGAGTCCGGGGTGAAGACCCTTACTTATTCTTCACATGGAACGTCACCTACGGCACCCTCTCTCCCTTGGGGGTTCCCCAGCAGGTGATTCTCATCAATAATCAATTCCCCGGACCCAATATCAACTCCACCAGTAATAACAACATTGTCGTTAATGTCTTCAATAACCTCGACGAGCCCTTCCTTTTGACATGGAGCGGCATCCAGCAGAGGAAGAATTCATGGCAAGATGGAATGCTAGGTACCAACTGCCCCATCCTTCCTGGAACCAATTACACCTACCACTTCCAGGTTAAGGACCAGATTGGTAGCTACATCTACTACCCAACCACAGGCATGCACCGTGCAACTGGTGGTTTTGGTGGCCTCCGCATCAATAGTCGTCTACTCATCCCTGTTCCTTATGCTGATCCTGAGGATGATTACACTGTCATTCTCAATGACTGGTACTCTAAGAGCCACACTGCTCTCCAGAAGCTCTTGGATAGCGGCCGCACTCTTGCAAGGCCTGATGGTGTCCTCGTCAATGGCAAGAACGCCAAGGGAGATGGCAAGGATGAGCCCCTCTTCAAAATGAAGCCTGAAAAGACTTACAAGTACAGGATCTGCAATGCTGGGATCAAGAATACTCTCAATTTCAGGATCCAAGGCCATACAATGAAGCTTGTGGAGATGGAGGGATCCCATGTGGTGCAAAACGTGTACGAGTCACTCGATGTCCATGTTGGACAATGCTTCAGTGTCCTCGTGACAGCCAACCAAGATCCCAAAGACTACTACATGGTGGCTTCCACCCGATTCAATAAGCAGGTTCTCACCGCCAAGGGCATCATTCGTTACACCAACGGCAAGGGTCCAGCATCACCTGAGCTCCCTGAGGCACCAGTTGGATGGGCTTGGTCTCTCAATCAATTCCGTTCCTTCCGCTGGAACCTTACAGCCAGTGCTGCTAGGCCTAACCCTCAAGGCTCCTACCATTATGGTTCCATCAACATTACCCGCACCATTAAACTCGTAAATTCGGCTAGCAGAGCAGGTGGCAAGCTTCGCTATGCCCTCAATGGAGTATCTCACGTTAATCCGGAAACACCACTCAAACTTGCTGAGTACTATGGGGTTGCAGACAAGGTGTTCAAGTATGACACCATCCTGGACAGTCCACAAGCCAACGTTGCTAATGCTAAGATTGTCACACAGCCGAATGTCCTTAACCTCACCTTCCGTAACTTCGTTGAGATCATCTTTGAGAACCACGAGAAGAGCATGCAATCATATCACTTAGATGGTTATTCTTTCTTTGCAGTCGCGTAAGTAATTCATTATTCGATAATTGGATGGATTTATTGAACATGCAGTATATATTTAATTATTTTATTGTGATCTCTAACTAACTAATTGGTCAATATATATATATATATAACAGCGTGGAGCCAGGCACTTGGACCCCCGAAAAGAGAAAGCACTACAATCTCCTTGACGCAGTGAGTAGGACAACCGTTCAGGTCTTCCCCAAATCTTGGGCTGCCATCCTTTTGACATTCGACAATGCTGGATTGTGGAACATCAGGTCAGAGATGTGGGAAAGAGTTTATCTAGGACAACAGCTGTATGCCAGTGTTCTTTCCCCTGCACGCTCCCTCAGGGACGAGTACAATCTTCCCGATAATTCTTTACTATGTGGCATCGTCAAGGACATGCCAAAACCCGCACCTTACAGCATCTAAGATATGGAGTGGCTCATCTTCCTTGTGTTAAACCTTTTCAATTTATTCAAGTAACCTTTTTCCAAATTACTATCCTCTTCTTTCTTTCTTTCTTTCTTTCTTTCTTTTGTATTCATCAAATAAATGTTATGTTCTTTCTCCCTTTCATACAATCAGAATAACATTGAATCTATATATTTATATGTGGCTGCATATATATATGTTTTCACAGCTCTTCCTATTTCAATTGAAGGGGAGCTGTGCTGTGTCATATTTTATACATGAATCGATGGATGAAGAATAAGTTCTTTTAGATATATTAGAATAGAGTCGATGCGGAGTGATAGAGAGAGTTGGATCCAGGAACAAGAGAGCACGGCATCAGAGCAGCAGAAAACAGACTCAGAGCCAAAGTTGACTGAGTGATAGAGAGAGTTGGATCCAGGCACAAGAGAGCACAGCATCAGAGCAGCAGAAAACAGACTCAGAGCCAAAGCTGACTGAAAGACTTTAAGAAATCTTAATGCTTCAGAAAGGTGGCAGGATTGTTTATATGGCTACCTTAAGGCCTTACAGTTACATTCCTTCTAACTACAACCTATTAAATTGTTTTTTTATTTATTTATTTATTGCTGGTAATAATTTTGCCAATCACTCAATCAAGGCACTACATGCAAGCTTTTGTCTTATTATAAAATTTGAAGGCACTATAATACCTTCAAGCAACCCATTAGCGCCAAGCGCGAGGAAACGCTCCATGTTTGGTAATATTTCCTACGACCAGGATAAAAAATCTCATTGAAGCGGCTACTGTTTGTACATCTAGAAACGAAGTGAAGAGAAAAAAGAATAGAATTTTGCTAACAGAAAACCGATATTGATATATAATGCACACCCAGAAAATGGTGGTAATAGTTGAACTGATCATCGAAGCTTAACAATTCTGCAATCACTTGGCAGGCCATCTTTACAACCTCTGAGGCATTAAATTGAAACTGGACAATAACATCTGCAATGAGCCTTATTGAAAAATGTAACAACCGTGCCACACTATCAAACTAAACACTAACAATTACAATTATCTGACCCGTTTCTTCTGTTATTCCCTACATAGAATGCACTGTAAAGCATCTCCGAAACCTTTCTGTTCATCATACAGATAAATCGGATTATTTTGAGACTTAAATGAGAAAAGGAAGGGAAGAAGAAACTAACAGAAAAACAGACCGACCACAGTCACACCCTAACCAAACACCTGCTTGCTGCAGCAAAGTAACCCCTTGACAGAATAAACAGTGAAATGGTTCTTCACCGACCTACAATAGTCTCCACCATTCGTTTTTTTCCCCTCTTCAAACCTTCAAATAATGAACATTCATCTTTGAGGAGGGTCTACAGTCCGAACATTTGCTCCTGTCATTCCTTCAATTCGATCTTTGGTTATCTCCACAAAATGACCCACAATCTCATGAAACTGCTTCAGCCCGGAAAGTGGGAGAATTATTGAGGACCTATCATTACCTGCAACCTGCAATTTCAACAACATTCCGTCACAACTTCAAATGGGCACCATAAGCCTTCACTTCAGAACACAGAATCGTGGATACATAGCTTTCCTGGCTCTGTAAAGGGTGATTTCATCGATATCTCACCCCCACCCCCCCAAAGTAAAAAAAAAAAATAAGGAAGAAAGACTTATTGGACTCTAATTGAAACTTCTGTTAAAATCTCACCTCTGAAATCCTCAGAAAATGACCTCTATTGTTGCTACCAAGATCGAAGAAGAATCTTTTCTGATCAACTCTGATTCCCTTTGACACCGCCATGTTACCAATTTCATCCTGTGGGGGCAGTTCAACTGACCTGTCAACATTCAGTTCAGAAGTCATCACAGATTGGCTACTGTGCCCAGATATGAAGCCAGCCCCTACATCATCAGAAAGTCCAACGAGGCGCTCAGAAGTTTCAGAACTTTGCTGTTGTGGCATGAATAAAAACATGGATGAAATAATCATAAGTGAGACCCCCTCTAATAAATTAGAAAGTTACTTTTTTTTTTGGCAGAACACATGTAAAAACTGCAATCACCTGATTGGGCAGCATAAAAAGTCTTGATGCTTCATTGATCTCAGCCAAAATATTTCTAAACGCTGCCCACCCTTCATCCCGTGAACTTCCAGCAGGAACAATAATAGTACTTCGGTTTCTACTGACAGAAGCTTCAGACACCTGCAAGATATATCTATTAGAGAAGTGAGCACATTGTAGCAAGTTAAATAGGTCCCTGAAGATGGGAAAACAAATTACACGAAGAACATAGATTTCCTTTCATTTTCTCTCAAAGCAACAGCATGCATGATGCCTAAAAGTTGTAAGATTACATCTGCTGCTCTGTCACCCTTGCATATGTTCAATCATTCTTTTGCATGCAAATTACATCTGCTAAAAGGTAATTTAAAACCTAAGCAGACTATTTATAACTTCCCTGGAAATTTTGCAAGAATAAGTAGAAGTTAGTGAAGATCAGAAAATATTTCAAGATGTTATTACATTTTTTTTCTTAACACTTTGTCTTCTCCTATTTCATTGAAGCATAAGTATGGCTTTATCTCTTCTTCCATTTTCTTTATTATGCTCCATTACTTCCCATGAAGTTTTCTCAGTACGCAAAACTACATTGAACAAGTTAGGAGGTTTATATAAACCAGACCTGAACCCTATTTTGACTTCATAGCATCAACAAAGTCTCCAGGAAATAAGGGGCATATAAAATAAGTTATAGAATGACAGAAAGAAAGGTTCTGAAGCTGAATGTGAGTAAATTGGTAAAATATGCAACTTCTTATAAGCGACTTTTCATAAGGGTGGATTTTCAGGACAAGCAAAGGAGTCCCTCTGGTAAAATTCTGGCCGTCCCATGGGATAGGAATTTGATGCAGTAGTCACGAATTGCCTAAAAGGGTCTTATAAGTTGCAAGTTCAAACTAGATTCTAGAGCCATTATAGACTGGAAAGACAACTCAGACAGCTCTCTTTCATTGATTGACTTTGGAAGGTATGTGCACATCAAGCACTGCACAAAAGAATGTGGGTTTCTTAAAAAGATTTGGCTGCTTGCAAACTATAGTCATTGTATAGTTAATAGAATAATGCTCAGAGAACTCAAATAAAGGCAATTGCAGCTAAAAACTCTCTTCCTGATAGGGCGTCCAGATGCAGATGGTCACAACTGAGAGGAGTTCAGGAGAACTGTAAGAATCTTCTGATTTAGGATGACCAATGTTTGGACATATATAGATGTGACTTTTGTTGATACATCCAAAATTGGGACATGAACAAAGCAGGTGCTTTGCTAAAAATTCTTAATAAGATCATACTACAATCCGGAAAACTTAAGGTCCCATCAGTAGCCAAAGCCTTTCATACAAAAACCTGTCACTACTTGATGCCTGGTAGTATGAAATCCTATACTCTGCGAGGATTGTTAATATCCTGCCAAATTGCCCTTATTGTTTTAGTGGAAGACTTGCCTAAGAGATTGGAGGCTGGGCATTTAGCTTCAAGTGCAAAGATACAATAATCCCCATGTATTACAGTTCCTCTGCTTTCTATTGGTTCTGCTATACATGTTCTTAACAGTTTCTCAAAGACAGCACCTAGTTTGGCATTAGTTTCATGGACAACATCCTCAAAATTGCTCTCATTCCTGTTTGATCTAACTAAGATAAACAAAATGCTTTGGGGAATTACTAGCCATCAGTTCTACCCTTCTTCTATATACATTTAAATTATATTGTGACTAGCAAGGTGGAGGTGGTGAGTGAATGCCCTTAAGTTGCATCATCAAGCCTTAATCATTGGTCAGTTACCTCACTGTTCAGTAGGAAAACAATGGAGATCGTGAAGGGATAAAGAAGATGATCTAGAAAATTGACTCTTCAAAAGCATTGATAACCGATCCACAGGACAATAACAAGTAAAGACTGACTCTGTTTCGCTCTAGTATCAACCTATAGCATGTCATTTACAATATTTTATTAACAAGTGCATTTCCAAATAAAATCTGTAACCTGACTTAGAGGGTACCAACAACTAACCAGATGAAAACAAACAAAGAACAATAATCCAGAATGATAAGTAAGAAGATTTAAGAAAGAAATTCAAAAACAAACTCTTTTGAGGTCTGCCCTCTTCTGTCTAATCTCAGGATAGAACTTAAAGTGTTGAACAAAATGAAAGTAATAAAAGAAAATTTCACTCTTGTATAGGACTCGTTATTTGATGGGAAAAAAAGCGAAATTTTTATTAGAAAATGGGGAATATACAAAATTAATTTGAGAATGAGTTTTCCTCCAAATTAACAAGCTAGAGGCAGCCCGAAGAAGGGAAATAAAAGCATCCTCCGGAATTTAGGAACATTGGTTAAGGAAGTGCCTTTAAATACTCTTGTTGGATTGTGGCGTGGTGAAGGAAGAAATGCTTAACTTATTACTATCCTAGGTATGTAGATTTCTGCAAGATGACGAGTGTACAAAGAGTATTAAGCTCAGCAACTTCTAAGAAGAAGAACCCACGGAGTGCAAGGGTGATATTTCATAGAAATATGAGGTTAGCAATTTGCAAGCCATCTCAATCCAACATTAGGATAGATAAACAGAAGTGCGAAGCAAAAACACAATCTTCCCTAAACCCTGTCACAGACCATAAAATCTTCTTGTTGTGTCTGCTTAACAACAAGAAATAAGAAGCATAGCATTTTACCTTCAAGAAGCGGCCCCTTCTGTTTTCGCCAATGTCAAAGTAGAAAACCTGCCGGTCAGTAATGGGAATTGATTAATCAATAATTGGAATGATTGGTAATGCTATTGCTGATCAGTGATATTTCTAATAAAGAGGGAGAGAGAATTAAAAGAAAAAAGAAATGCCTTGGTGTCGAGCTGCAATTCCTTGCTGAAGAGGTCCTGATCATCAGCAGAATTATTAACATAGTAATTGAAGAGATCCAAGAACCAAGAAATCCCGGAGAAGGGAACGATGATGGTGGACCTGGTGGCAGAAGTCTTCTCTGATATCTTCAAGTAACGACCCCGTGGATTCTCTTTTAGATCGAAATAGAAAAGCTTGTGTTCCACTTGTAGAGTCTTGCACATGAGCTCTACATCATTCCCTCCTCCTCCTCCTCCACTGCCACTTCCTCCACCAACAACTCCGCCAGAATTCCCCTCCATCTAATCTACCAGATGGTAATACGGAATTAAGTAGTTTTCACAGATTAAAGAAAGAAGAAGAGCGATGGAGGAAGGGGTAGATCTGAAAGAAAATGAGAGACCGCGGCACACTCCTATCGACAGGAGAAGCGGCAGCAGCAGCAAGAATTTTTGAATAGTAGAAGAAGGGGTTTATGAGGGATGATGAAGATGTCGTGATAGGATTTTGGTTTAGGGTTTGGAAAGAAAGGAGGTGAGGAGAAGCTAAGCTAAGCAGGAGTAGCCAGGAGGGATAACGAACGAACCACCATCCCATTGACTTGGTCCATTTTTCTTTCTTTTCTTTAATTTTTATTATTATAAAATAGAAGTAAAATCCCCTACAATAAAACACCACTAGTCTAGTAAAGCAAACTCTTGTCTCTCTCTCCCCCTCTGCGAAGTGGAATGAAATGAAGCCTCCTCCCTCTTCAACGAGAGAAAATTCTTTTGAACTAAACATGAACCAGGAGGCTTCTTGTGTTCCTTTTTAACCTGTTGCTTGGAGTTAAGTTACTGGTGTTGAAGCAGGAGAGGAGCGCGCTTTGCCCCGCTCTCTTTGTAGTCACTAGACCACTGCTCTTGTAGTCCTAGTACTCAAGTGTTCCTAGCAACTTGGCCACTACTACCCTCCCTTGTCTTCTTTACCTTTGTTTTACCCCACCAGTCTACATGTCCTACGCTGTCATTTCCTGTTCATTTAATCCAAATCTAAGCTGCTGCTGCTGCTGCTGCTGCTGCTGCTGCTGCTGCTGCTGCTGCTGCTGCTGCTGCTGCTGCTGCTGCTGCTGCTGCTGCTGCTGCTGCTGCTGCTGCTGCTGCTGCTGCTGCTGCTGCTGCTGCTGCTGCTGCTGCTGCTGCTGCTGCTGCTGCTGCTGCTTTCACTTCCCAAGTATAACAGCTTTCTCATCCACCAACTTCTTTACACTCGCTCCCTGTTTCTTTTGTACTCTTCTTTTCACTCACCCATCAGGCAGTCGCCACCTAACTAAAAAAATCATCTTACCAAAACAAAATAAAATAACTAAAAAATCAAACCTTTTTTCCTTCTTTAGTTCATAAGATGTCAGTAGGAAAGCCCAGAGATCGTTACAGTTCGACGATCTTTTTTCACTCTTTTAGCATCAAGTTATGATTTATTCTTCATAAATTCGACGTTAAAACTGTATTTTGGGGCAAAGTTAGATTCTTTCTACGGAAGTAATCTAACGAGTTACTCAAATTGAGAGGATTTTCAATCGCGCGGAAGGAGGGGTGGCATTTAGACTCCCTGTGAGGCCTAAATTGGTAAGAGTCAAAACTCTCTCTTTGCGGGCTGGGTACTGCCGGGCTTCCTTGTGTTTTGTTGGCTTGTCTGCAAATTCACAAGCTGATGGTTATGTCCTCATGGGTTTGAAGGCTACTAGAGAGAGTGAGTAGAATGCTGGGTGGTGAATATTTGAACTCCAAGAAAAGCAATAAGACCATGCGCCTCCTCTATTGCAGCTCCCTTGTTTCTTCATCATCAGTTTTGATTTCCTTGATTGCCCATTCCTCTCATCTCAAGCACATCCACCAGACGCATGCCTTCATGCTTCTCAGAGCTCTCGATACAGACAACCTGCTCCTCAGTCGATTCATTCACGCATGCTCTTCTCTTGGCTTCTATTCCTATGCTTACTCTCTCTTCACCTCCATCACCCATGCCCCCGACATCTATCTCTACAACAACATCATCAAAGCCCTCTCTTCCTCTCCCACCCACCCCAAAGCTTCAATCTTTCTTTACAATAACATCCAACTTGCTGGCTTGCGACCTGATTCCTACTCTTTCCCTTTCGCTCTCAAGGCCGTCACTCGATTTTCATCGATTCAGACTGGGAGGCAACTTCACTCTCAATCCATTCGCTGTGGCCTCCACTCTAACCTTCACGTCATTACGGCCTTTGTCCGGATGTACTCCTCCTGCGGCTCTGGTTACATTTGTGATGCGCGCAAGATGTTTGATGGAATGAGCATGTCGACAGGAGATGTCGCTCTTTGGAACGCAATGCTTAATGGGTATGCTAAGCTTGGTGACCTCTGTAATGCTCGAGATTTATTTGAACGCATGCCTCAAAGAAACGTTATCTCCTGGACAGCTCTCATTACTGGGTATGCGCAGGCGAATCGGCCCCACGATGCCATTGCTTTGTTTCGTAGAATGCAGCTCGAGAATGTGGAGCCTGATGAAATTACCATGTTAGTTGCGCTTACTGCTTGTGCCCGACTGGGTGCGTTGGAGCTGGGGGAGTGGATTCGTCACTACATTGACAGACTTGGATTATTGACTACAAATATCCCTCTCAACAATGCACTTATAGACATGTATGCGAAGTCTGGCGACATTAAAAGGGCATTAAAAGTATTCGAGAATATGAATCATAAAACTATCATAACATGGACAGCAATGATTGCTGGACTAGCTTTGCACGGACTTGGAACAGAAGCCCTTGAAATGTTCTCTCGAATGGAAAGGGCAAGAGTTAAGCCAAATGACATCACTTTCATTGCCATCCTTTCCGCTTGTAGCCATGTGGGATTGGTAAAAACCGGTAGATGGTATTTTAACCGTATGATATCTAGGTATGGGATTGAACCCAGGATTGAGCATTATGGCTGCATGATTGATTTACTTGGGCGCGCTGGTCACCTCAAAGAGGCACGAACACTACTTGCTCAGATGCCATTCGAGCCTAACGCGGTTATATGGGGGTCTCTTCTTGCTGCTTGTAATACTCATGGTGATCCTGAGCTTGGAGAGCTTGCATTGCAGCATCTATTAGAGTTGGAGCCTGATAACAGCGGAAACTATGCACTTTTATCGAATATCTATGCTTCTCGTGGTAGATGGAATGAGTCTCGGGTGGTGAGAAAGGTGATGTGCGATGCAGGAGTTAAAAAAATGCCAGGAGGAAGTCTTATTGAAGTGAATAACAGAGTTCATGAGTTTATTGCAGGAGAGACTTCGCATTCTGAGTTTGATAGGATACAGGAAGTTCTAAGCAAGATAAATGGGCAATTAGGACTTTCTCAGCATTTCGGCAAGGAAAGTGGTGCGCTGCTTGAATTGGGGTAGGACGCACTTCTACTTCCAAAGATGCATGATCTATTACCAAATCAACTTCTGGTTGCATTGGATAACTAAATGCTGTGCCATCTGAAAACCTGCCCCGCCTCACATGTTCGACAGCTGAGCAATAAACTCACGTAGAGATGGGAGTGGCTTTGACATCTCATTTCTCTTCAAGGAGGTATGTCTTTGCAAAACCTGCATATTTTTCTGAGCTGTTGGTAGATTTTCATGCACACACAAATTGTTTTTCCTTTTCATTTCCTGCTTCCAATATTTTATTTCTTATGCTAAATATAATGTCAGGTGTACCATACAGAATTGAAAAGTTCATTTGCAAAAATATTAGTGAGTGGAGTATTAATATTCAAACACGATAAATTATTAATATTTAGGATCATTTTTCATTTAAAAAAAATGGGTCAATAAATAATTAGCATGTTTGCCACCTTCCCCCAAGATTCTATGTAGTTCTAGTTATCGAATACTGCCAGTACATTTTGTGAGTCCTCGTTCAGAAAATTGAACAAGACAGTTAATATAATTATATAGAAGAAAAATAAAATTACAGAGGTCTTACAACATAAGGATACTTGTTGCAAAATGGCTCTAACATATCCCAATGTTGTAGGGATAATAAAGGTGAAATGAGCATATTGTATACAGACAGAAAGGCAAATGTATAGATACACATATCCGCTGGAGGTGCTTCAAAGCATTAAACCGTAGAAGAAATCGTGGTCGAATCCCAGGTCATAAAGCCCCAATCCTAGAAGAGCACTGGAGCATAAAATCTCAATTTTCTGTTTAACAACATGGCATATTCCTGGCCAAGATATGAGCAAATTGTAAGATGGTGGACTTTGACCTTACTAAATAGGAATAAATGTAAGATAATTTATTTTTCATTCTATGGAAGTTAGCAAAGAGGGCTTGTTGCAGAGAAAGTAAAGAAAAGGAAAAAAAAAAACAGAAAAAAAAACAGAAACAGAAACAAAACAAAAATGTGAACATGGTCAAGGCATGAGAGAAATATTTGGTTTAGACATCGAAGTTCTTACCTGTGTTCTGTAATTTTCCTTCTGGTTTACCAAATGTCACAGCTAAGTTCTCATGATTTTCACTGTTCATAAATAAAGCTGAGTTCAACTGAAGGAGGCCATGTCTTGTCTCTTTTGCCAGCGACTGAAAGGAGTAAAAGCCTTGCCTTTCACTGTCTTCCATATTTGATTCAGTGGGTGCTTGCTGACAGCATGATTCCAGTTCTAACATGGCAAAGACACCAGAATCCCTTTTTGAACAAACGGAAGTAGTATATAATTCAGATGGACAGCATTTACTGCGCCCACTGATCTTTAGCAGGAAATAGTCTGAACATTGTATTTTGCCTTCTGGTGCCTTTGTAGTTGACATATCATTGACCCTGTTGCCATCCTCACATTCTTCAAGACTAGGAAAACACCCATCTTGTGGGGAAAAAGTGTCGTATTCACCATCCCCTGCTAATACATCGCCCACAGAAAGCTGTAGTTTTTGTACCATTGTTTCCCCCCAGGTTGTCTGTAATGGAGAAGTGACATCTGATCTTGAGTCCTCATTAAATAGATCTTTTAACATTTTCAGTGGGTTTTCCATGACCGCTTCTACTACAGGCTTTCCAACTGCCCCTGTGGTTGCTAGATCATTTATTTTATCACGGTTGACAACTTGCTTTGCATATGCATAGTCATGCACATCCTCGTCGAAAAAATTGTCTGCTTTGCTCTCTACTGTACTCTTATGTTTCTTCTCAGGAATAGGAACAGCCAAAACCCGTTTTTTCCTTTGAGTGCAACCACTTAGAGTGGATTCACTTTTCTGTAGATGTAGCCAGCTATCAATCTTAGAAAATTTGACACAGTTGATTTTGGTCATCTGTCTACTGCTATTTTTCTGAATGTGACTGATGCCTGCCTTTTGACTAATCAAATTCCTTGGTTCTTTTTCTTGTTCTTGGAGACCATTAAATTTGAAACCAGTTTCAGTTGTGTCTTGGCTGTATTCTGTTGCATCATCAGTACTATCTTTCATGTTCAACCCTGCCAAACAGCTAGATCTGGAAAAACTGTGGTCTGAATTGTTTTCTGAATGATCCTTTACAGGTAAACTAACAGACTCTGCACGATGAAATGTTGGTCTTCTCCTTCTTGCAAGGACTGTGCCATCTCTTCCTTCAGAAGTTTCATACCTCGTCCCAGATTTTCTTTGGCTGCAAATGGTAGGCCTCATAAATCTTGGTAACTTTGATAAAGGACTCGCTGTAATATCTACTATCCTGGTCTTTGTAAGTGGTTCTTCTATAGAAGAATGGTATGCCTCCATTTGCTCCTCAGATGATGTACTTGTCCCTGTTAGATTTTCTAATTTCTTGTTTAATATTTCAATGTCACTTCTAGCAAGCAGCCACTCATCTTCAATATGTTTCATCTTTTGCTGCAGGTTTGCTATTGCAACTTCCTTCTTCTCTTTTGCTTCCTGATGATTAACGTCCACCTCATTGGTCAGATGATCTATTATTTTATTTTACTTGCTACTTCAATTGTTCACAAGAATATGCACAATCTTAAATAAGTATGTTTGCCTACTTACAATTGTACCCTCATTTCTTAGGTGAACACCTTTCACCCTTGTTGCAAAATTTAAAGAACATATGGTCTCACACAAATCTTCTTCTTTGGGACTGACATGGACCAGCATTATTGTTTTTGAATCATTACCTGTAAGCAGAAGATGGTCTATGAGTTCCACGCTTTCTAACAACAAATATGTCTATCAGTTTTTTTCTTAAAGAAGTTACATAACATGATTATGGAATAAATAACTGATACGGGTGAATGATGGCTCTGATTTAAATTTTTGTTTGAGAATTATTATGGTACTCCAAATGAGGTAAGAACAGATCCCCCTGTGAATGGTTAGCGGCTGTAATCACATAGACAGAAGCATGGACATGATTAAGGATTGTTACCTAGAGAATCTTTGAGAACTTGTGTCAGCTTGCTATTCCTGTCAAAAGTAAAAGGGATAATTTAGTTTTTAATTGGGACTCTGGAAAAGCCGCCATTATCTAGCCACCCATGATTTTTAGGTTTGGAAAAGCTGATGAAGCATTTCTGTTTACATTTAGAATCTTGGAAAGGAAGAGGAAACTATTTCCTTTTTTCACTTAATAGAAGAGAACAGGCCAATCTGAGAGAATTCAGTTTTTTTTTCTTTTTTTCCTTTTGTAATCCTTTTCTAAATGACTATTTTTAATAACCGTGGGTAATGCTATACATACTCTGATGGAAGATATGGGTGAAATAGGGTTGGGTTGAGTGGTCAAAACGCTCAGATTCCGAGAAAATAAGAGTTTGGTGAGTTCGATGTTACCTGTAAGGTATGTGATGCCTTTTCCTTTGGAGGGCACTAATCACATTCCCAAGGGCAGAGAGTGACAAATTAATGGCTTTTCCTTCATTGAGTCTTTTGCCCCATGCCTTTGTCTTCAGTACACGCTCGCTTCCCCCGAGATCAACTAACCATATTTTATTTGTTTCCCTTCGCCTTTGAGGAGCATTGAAGCACGTTATTGCTACCCGTATCATGCTATTGTGAGCAATATAGAAGAAACAAGATTAGAACAGAGGATAATAACTGCCCTTTATTGAAGAATCTTCTGGAATCAGTCCATGTATCAAGGCAACTGCGTGACTGCTCTATTCTCATGCTGAACTACACTGACACATAGGAGTTTAATTAGGGAAATTCGATTACCAGTGAGATCGGCTAGATGTCAGGTTGGAATTTGTTGAGGCAGTTGATCTGAAACGGCAGCCCAATCTGTACAGCCTCAGAGCTTGGTTGAAGTCGTTCACTTTAATGGCCACAAGGTTGTCGATTTCGACTCCTCCCGTTGGATCTGTTTGTATTGAAAGGCTGTATTTAGAGATTTTGGATTATGTTAGAAAGGATTACCTTAATACTTTCGAAATGATTGAACTAGATAAACCCATGTATTGAAACATTTAGGGTATGAGAATATACCAAGGTGGCATAGGATCTGTTGCTTTTGTTGGTTTGGGGACAAGCAAGTCCTTAAGATTTCCCATGTATATCTCGAGCATGCTGAAACTGATGAGAAATGCATGGTCACTGTCTACTGCTTGTTTAAATAGAGCCTCCATGGCCCTTGGCACTATGCCGGGAGTGTCTTCATCACCTTCCTAGGATATATTAAACCAAGAAACACGGATGTAGATTGAATACATTAACCCATGTAGGATTATTGTGTCTTCAGCACAGTGTGTCTTTTGGCTGTGTCGTTTACCTCTGAATCACCTAAATATGCTATGAGTGAAGTGTTAGCTGGTTCTCACCATTGTGAAAGTTTTTCCTGTGCCCGTTTGCCCATATGCAAAAATGCAGGCATTGTAGCCATCAAGGACTGATTTGATGATGGGTTCAACTTCTGTAAAAACTTCATCTGAAAGCTACCAACTATTAAAGCATGATCGTGATAAATGACCGATAAAATAGCTTTCTACTTGCTTTTTGGTTGGAGGAAGAAAAGGAAATGAAATAATCAGAGACATGATTTACGTCAAACACCTTGGGATGAACCTGGGTGGAGAACCTTGTCAAAATTGTAACTCTTGCTCTTACTGTCCGTAAGCCTTAGAACAACTTCATTTGAATCCGATGCTACGACTGGTCTTAAATGACCACAATTCTCCCCAGATGTGATAGGTCTTATTCTACAAAATACACGGATGTTCCCTGCATGGCATTTATTAAACTGTAGTCAATTTGGCATATGCTGAAACCATCTACTCTTAATTGACAGCTATCATCAATGAAATGAGTGGGCATGGCATGAAGTGTCAGCCCAACAACTTGTCTGTCTCTTGTCAAGCTATCACAATAAAAGAAACATGACTAACCTTTCAAGTCCAGGAACTCGTTTAGGATTTGCCTCCTCTTTATGTTCAATTCGTTTATGTGGTTAGTCAAGACAGTAAGCTCATCTGTTCACGGGAAAATAAATTTTATAGAAGGGAGTGAGCAATAATTATATGAATAATAAGGAACAGAGGTGCATCTAGATTTATGAAAGCAAAAGTGCTTTTTTTCACCTTTTATTTTTGAAATTGCACTGCAGTTGTCGTCATCTTCATCATCATCATTAATATCAGAGTTGGTTGGCTGCATGTCAACTGATTTTTCAGATGGAAGGGTTTTTATTATATCACAAACTGATTTAACCCAGTTGGAAGTTAGATTTGCCTTTATCCCTAGTAGGGAATGAAGGGATTCAGCAAGATTTCTAACAGATTTTCTTGAATCCATCTTTTCTGCTTCCCAATACTAGTCTGTGGAAAATATATGATTTCTTTGTTTCATTTCTCTACATGACTTGCTGCTCTTTATTCCAAATTCACACTCTGCAACTGAACAAGGGAAATGTAGTCTGTAGAGCAGATAACATTGAACTAGTCTAGTTTGAACAAGAACCTTGACTTTCAGAAATAATAAAGATCGAATCCTTCACATTTTAAGTAATGGCCGAAACTACTAAGAGACTATACTTGCAGCAAAGGTGGAATGAATTTCTTGCACGCCAAGTTGTTGATATGTCAAGTGGTGTTAAAAAAACATGGTGAACTCAAGAAACAGTCAACAATATTCTGTTGAATTAAACAGGACAGTGAAGTAAACAATACAAGATAAGATTTCTGGTTTTCAGTACCTCTATTAAGAAAAATGTACATTGATGCATAGAATCGTATTTTTAAATTAATGAACTGACAACAAACACAGATTAAGGCGGGGAGTGAAATATTAAGTTTTCGAGGAACCAGATAAAAGAAAATACCAGCAATATTATGGCTATGGCTGAGGCTAAAACGGCACTTGAGACCCGAGATCATCCACAGCTAGCATGGTCGGTCCTGGACCAATTAGACACAGGATCAATCATACATCATTAACAGAAAATCCTTTCAGTGATGAAAAAACCTTAATTTGAATGGTAACAGTAGTCCTGATGACATGAAATTTCCATAGCTAGCTAGAAAAAGGAAAGAGAAGAGATTAAATCTGGCCGTGGTGGTTCTACGCTGAACTGCGAGTAATATTTGTCGTTGTTGCAACCATGACAGCTGAAAGATCACTTATTTTATCCGAAACTTAAACCACATGCGAGGCTAGCAGATATGAAACACCGAAGCATTTAACTGGTGTCAATATGTTGTGCTAGTGCGATCACTATTGTTGGTTTCTAGCTATAGCATCATGACAAAAGACCTGCCTACCTTACTCTGCGTGAATACAGAGTACTAGGGAGAGAGAAGAGAGAGAGTTGTCTGTTACTCTGCTGGTGAAGGACCCAAATACCATACACCATGCCCCAACAAACATGATGCATGTAATTCACTCGGCTAGTACTTCTTCTTCTTTAGATGATCATCAGAGTAAAAGACTCTTGTTACAAAATCCAATATGCTGATGAATAAAAATTTTATTGAGTTCTTGAATGAGGGTGATTACTTTAAGAAGTTGATGAAAGATGATAGAAGGCCCGTACCTGAAAAACAAATTTATTTTATTTTATTTTTTAAAATTTAAAGAATGATAAAATCAATAATTTTTATTAAAAAATTATAACGAGTAAAAAAAGAGTTTTAAATTTTTAAAAATAAGAATGTTTGTTATTGAGTATATCTCTATAAAGCATAAATAAAGAATAGAAAAAATATAAACTATTTATCTAAATAATTTAGAAGATATATATAGCCTTTAAAATTTATTATATTACTTGAATAGAAAAATTGAAGTATTATTTTCTCTTGATAGTACTAATGAGTGATAAATATTTCTTATAAAATATTAATAAAGAATAATATCTCATACATAATATTAATATTTTATTAAAATATAATAGGTTTTTTTTAAGATTTTTATACACTTAAGGATGTAGAGAGATAATTCTTGACTTTTAATATTTTATATAAAAAATAAAAACAAATAAAAAAATTACCAACTTAATATATTTTTGATTTGGAATGATTTTAAATTTAAAGATAATAGATTTAATATCTTATCAGATACTCGTATATAAAACTAACACATTTTTACATTTATATGCATTTAAACTGAACATATAACTAAATTTAAAAATATTATATCTATAACTAAATCCATGTAATTGAAGTTTCTCAATCCAATAACATTAAATCTAACACCTCATTCAACCCGCATTTAATTGTACTTAGGTACCTTACATTTTTAGCAACGATCTTTCAACGTGTCAAAGATATATTGATTCATAATAAAAATAATAATAATACTGGTCGATCATTGATGAGCTGCATGCTTACGTAATCTATATACTATAGATTAAAGACTTGATCATAAATATTCCCATGGCAGAAAGATAGCTAGCTGGCTAGCTAACCGACCGTAATAATCTATATACTAGTCTTTTTGATAGTATGGTCCATCTTTCTTTATCTCGTGGACTTATAATCTTCATTCTTCAATGTTAATTGGTGTGCAAACCACGTCAGAATAGACCAATGAATGGGCCAGAGAAAATACAGTTCCATCTTACGATAAAGACACAAAAAACAAGAAATATATTGTTGCATTTATAAGGAGGAGGACCTATGATCGATCATTTCATTAATTAGAGTGAGAATTAAGCCTATGATCGATCGATCTGAACAGTGTTGGTGTTTTTTGATTTAGTACGATGAATATATTGGGAACAAAACAATCCAACCCAACATCTGAACACATTCATTCGATAATGGAATAACATAATAATTCAAACCTTCTCTTGCAGTGTAGATCAGCAGAGTTTGGATGTCAGAATTCCAAAGGTGGCTGATAGAAAATCCAGATGGGATCTCCCATTGCCTGTTAGGAAAGGTTAGAGATAGGGCATCGGATTCTGTCAGGAGCGGAGGTATTCAAGATATTTAATTACTAATACTACATGGTTTCGAGCAGTCCAATATCCTTTATGCGCTACTGTGCATGTGAAATTCTTTGAAACAGCCGACATACAAAGGCTGGCCATCGGGGGATTACTGCTAGGAAATGTGTAGCTTGCATATTTAATCTAAAGAAAATGAAGTCTTTATTTTCATATGATTTTAATGGCAGCTTTCGATAGCTACCCAAGACATTCAATTCCTTTGATCCAAATTTCAATATGCAGGGGCATCAAACCCGGTAATTCACTATTATTTTGCTCTTGTGGTGAATCTGGGAGGGAGGGGACCAATCAATTGCATGAATCTTTGAGTTGGTGCCATTAAATAACCAAGGAGTAAAGGCAACCCAACTTCGTTCTGGACGCGACAGCTTGCTGGTGACAGGTTAATTCCTCATCGATCACCATTTTCATTTCTTAAGGTAGAATATTCAATGTCGAAGAGAGATGTGGGGCCGTGGGGCTAGCTCCTCGTCCTTGCGTTATGCAGTATTGCTCTACAGGAGTGTTTTTTTTTAACTGTCCTATATTTTACTGTCCATCCTTTTATAGATGCATTGTGCAAAATTTCATTTCTTTTCGCTTTAATTTTTTTTATTTAATCCTGATAAAAAAACAGGATTTAAAAATTAAATCAGAAAACCAATTAATTTTAATTTTTTATAAAAATATAAAATTAAAAAAAAAAGACCAAAATGAAAAGGACCTTAAACATGGATAGCATGCCATGAGTTTTACAAAAAATGTATTTTGATCCTTGAGTTTTCAAAATCACATAAATTATACAATTTTAATATTTTAATATTTTTTAATTTAATTTTGGGATAAAATTTTATTTTTATTATTTTTAATCCCTAGCTAAAAAGAAAAAAAATTATCGTTAACACCGTTTTACACCACCAAAACAAATGATATTTGTGTCAAATAAATCTATTTAATGAGGGGAGCTCATAATAAATGTTTTTTTACCTTTAAAATTTATAAAAAAAAATAGATCTGAACTTAAATTAATTTTTATTTTTGAGGTGATTTTTTAAAGTCATATATAAGTTTGTCACGACTCCTATAATGTTTTTGAATTGAAAAATAGGTTTTTTGGTAAAAACAACTTGAATCTTGATTTTCTGGTCACCACAATAGTCAAAATCTAAGCAAATAAAATGACATGTTGTCTAAATTTTTTTTTAAAAGAATTATCATTCGCTCCAGCTACAAATAAAATAAAATAAAATACGAGCCTAATCATATGGACCTGCTAGGGCAATCTTAAGCATGGGTCCTGATAAAATAAATCAGGCAAGCTAATCTAGTTTGTCAAACCTAGTAGTGTTTAGTCTTTGCTAACAAATAATTTTTTTTAAAATAAATTATAATTCCACTAGAGATCATAATTCTGTTTATAAGTTTGACATACTAGCCTAGAGTTACTTGAGTTATAAGTTTGACGAATTCATTCATTGATCAGATTTTTTTTGGTCTTTTAATTATTTTAATTTGTTTTCTTGATTTTATTTTTTTTATATAAGATTGGTTAAGAAATACATAATTTATTTTTGTTTACTTTATATAGGATTATTATTGCATCAAATAAATTTTTATTTCTAAGTTTTTAGTTTTAGGTTGATGCTCAATTTCATGATAATATATTTTAATTATATAATTAAAAAAATTATTAAATTTATTAGAATTCATAACACGGATCATTAAGAGACTGATATTAATCCAATTTGTCATTGTCTCAGAAAAATTTAAAAAAATTATCATCTTAAATTTTTTTTAAATCAAGTCATATTTGTACTAATTATCATAATTGTATTTAAACTTATAAAATCAATTAATTTAATTTGATCTAGCAGCTTACAACAATGAGAGGAAACTTTGATTTAGCTGAGAACTCATAAATAGAATACAAAGTTTCAAGATTGATCCATGAAACCATATTTAATAACACAATAAAAAAAATTTAATGTAATCTTAACATTGTTTTTTTTTTTTTTTTTTTGTTTTAATGTAATCTTAACATTGTTTTTATTTTTTTTATTTTTTTTTTTGGCATTTTAAAAAAGTAGTCTTACCAGCAGCTTACAACGATGAGGGGGGTCCAAAAAGAACTGATGATGGGGAATAAGAGTGTAAACTTGATGGTGAAGGTATGCATGTGTGAAAATATTTGGGAAAGGAACAGATCCCCACTCTGAACTGAAGTCATGGCAATCATATCATCGTAATATTAATTCCAATGCAGAATTGTTTTTAATAAATTAGAGAAAAGTTCTGGTAGGTGGAGACGAGACAATTCTAAGCGACCCGGTCTCTAAGTGAGATGTCGAATTCTAAAGACGGGATTTGTAAAAAACATAAATAGGGATGTCTACATTTCACCACCCACCACCTCGAAGATGTTCATCAACAGATCATGCCCGCGTCGAGAATTACCGGGTAAAGAACGCCGAGCACTCCTTGGTCGAGCACTACCAGGACGAGAATTACTAGATCGAGCATTATTGCGTTGAGAACAATCAGGCAATTGTGCTGGAAACTATCAGGTCGACAACTACAAGGTCGAGAACAATTAGGCAACTGGGCTGAAAACTATCTGGTCGACAACTACTAGCTCGAGCACTACCACGTTGAGGACTACCGGGCAGAGCACTACTAGATCGAGGACACTTGGACCAGACACCATCTCTTCCAGCACCGTTGAGTCGAGCATTGTCGGGTCCAAGGCTATCAAATCAAGGCCTACAAGGTGAGCACTACCAGGTTGATGGCTATCAGGTTAAGGACTACCGAGTGGGGCATGCTCGAGTCGAGGACAACCGGGTCAAGTATGGGTCAAGCGCTACTAGGTTAAGGGCTACTAGGTTGGGGACTATCAAGTCAAGTATGCTTGGATCGAGAATTACCAAGTAGAGCACTATTGGCCCAAGCATGCTTAGATCGAGGACTACCGAGTTGAGTGCTATCATGCAAGATTCTCAGGTGGACTACCAGATCCAGCAATACCCAATCGAGCATGATTAGGTTGAGGACTATAGGGATGAGCACTACCAGGTCAAGCATGCTTGGATTGAAGACTATTGGCCCAAGCATGCCTGGATCGAGGACTACCAAGTAGAGCACTATTGGCCCAAGCATGCTTAGATCGAGGACTACCGAATCGAGTGCTATCAGGCGAGATTCTCAAGTGGACTACCAGATCCAGCAATACCCAATCGAACATGATGAGGTTGAGGACTATCGGGATGAGCACTACCAAGTCAAGCATGCTCAAGTGAAGGGCTACCGGGTTGGGGATGCTCGGTTTAAAGACTACCGGGTCGAGAACTATCAAGTTGATCACTATAGTGTTAAGGACTATCAGGTCTAGCATTGCCAGGTCAATCACTACTAGATCAAGCATGAACGGGATGAGGACGTCGAAGATTTATAGGTCAAGGACTACGAGGTCAGGCATGCTCAGGTGGATAACTACCAAGTCGAGCACTATCGAATTGAGGACTACTAAGTCAAGCATTACCAAGTCTAGGGCTACCGTGTCGAGGACTACCAGGTTTGGCATTGCCATTGCCAGGTCGAGCATGCTCAAGCTGAGGACGCTCAGGTCGAGCACTACTAGGTGGGTTAAACAATTTGAGATTAAAGGGGGAAAAAGGCAAAAATCTTTCAAGTACCAAGGACATTGTTCTAGTATCATCAATTCCTGGAAGCTCGGGAAATTGTTACAGTAGATAGAATTCAAACAAGCAAGTAATAGCCATAATTAAATCCAATGATATCATTTTCTATCACTTGCTATAGTAGACAGATTACGAAGAAGACGAGACAGAATCACTAATTAAAACAAGACACCAATCTGAGGTCAACAGTACTCATAATTGAGCTTTATATTGATAAGCAAACATTTGCAAGTCATTTCCACTTCAAAGTCCATATCATTGCACTGGCTAGATTTCTAATGGAAATACTAGCCAATTTATAAAAAATAACTACTCAAATCTTGAATGAAACCTACACGGCAGGAACAAATGGACACATGCAATTCAGAATGTTGACAAAAACAACATAATGCTCCAATCTTGATTAAATAATACAAGAGGACATCTCCATTCAGTGACAACTACATAACAACCACCTAATCTCTTTCACGACTGAAGATGACACAGTACGTGATTGTACAAAACAATGGTATCATCTCACCTTACAGATGATTAAGAGTCCTGGGGAGCCTCAAATCTTGTTGGAGTGTCAATGCCCATCATACATCATAGGCATGATATTAAAATGATAAGCAAAACAATCCCCTTGAGCATCACAGACAGCCACAATATCAGGACTCCATAAATATAATAATATAATGGACTAAAGTGAAACTGGAGTGCAAGTAGAGCAAGAAAATGAGTATAATGGACCATAGCAGTATAGATAAACTGCAGAATTCCACATCCAAGATTATGCACCACCGAGTTGATATAATTTACCTGGACTGCTTGTAAACTCAAAAAAGAAGAAGAAGAAGAAGAAGAAAGCACCCTCCCGTTTTAGCTAAGACATCCCCTGCATTAACGCTGAATCAACATTAAAATAAGCTTGGGAGAATACATGAGATCATGGAAGAGGCCTAAAACTGCAACAGTAGCTCTAAATTCTATGAACTCATCAGAAGTTGATTAGAGAGGGTAGAGGGAGGCCAGTCAAATATCTTGTTAGATTCGGAAGAAGATTTTTCCTTTCAAAATCAGCAATAAGATGATGAACAAGGCTTTCAGACATTGTACAAGCTTGCTGACGTGTTTCAGCGAGTAGGGATCCCACACCTACTCAATTGTAGATGAACAGGAAGTAGAGGTGCTCATCTTTAAGGTAATTATTAGTGCTTAATCTTGTGGACCATTAAACAAGACATCTTTGCATTTATTTTCTCCTTCTTTTTCCCATGTTTACTTTCAGGATGAGGAACCTGTTGACCATTTATCAGCAGCAGAACTCCTAAAGAGTGTGAGTGAAGTGGAGGGGAATCGAGTGTGAGTTTGATGGTTGGGTATATGCAATAGCGGCTGTTTTAGATCCAGTATAAGATATGAGAGATTATTAACTAAGATTTGATTTATTGTTCGATTTCAAACTCGACCTTACTGCTACAACACACAATAGAGCAACAGCAAGGGTTATAGCAGAAATCAAACTTGGAAACAAGGACGGAAGGACCTCAACTAGGAGTGGTGTTGGCATTTTGCTAGGGTCTTTTGAGAGGGATTCCCAGGACAATCAACAATGTTAGTAAAGCAGATCATGGATGGGAGTAGATTTGGAAATGGGCATGGAATGGTTCAGCTTGTAATGTTAAGGGAAAAAATAGGAGAATCCTTCTTTGAGGCATTTCATTCAAGTGTATTTGATGTGAAAAACCTGCAGTAATTACAGATGAATATTGTAATGGGAGAGAAACTAGAAAGAGTACAAAATTTAATATGGTTCGGTAATATGCCTACATTCACAGGAGCAAGGAGCTTTTATTTTCACTATATTGAAATAGGGTTACATAATATTTATTTATAGTATACCCTAAACCATTCAAGGAATCCTAGCAACCCAAGAAATCCTAGCCGTCCAAGAAATATTAATAATTTTTCTATAATACCTCTTTACAGCTACAACAGTATTATTGTGGGGTGAAAAAAGATACTGCGGAGGCAAATTATATTTGCCGTTCAGTTTTTGTTGCTCTTTTGTTCCTTCAAGTTCAGGATAGTGTTACTCTTGTACATGACTTGTGTACTTGAGAACCGGGTGCCCATGGGTGTTTTCTGATAATTTACTAAACAAAGAAAAATCTTTGCTTCTTCAAAGACATGAGATGCAGAAATGAAAACACTCCTGCTGACCGCTAGAAATTTACCATTCATAATCAGGCCATCTCCAATGACCATGCCCTACATGATAATACCAAAATATCTATATCTTCATCAAAGAGACAAGGAAACAAATAAAACAAGCACTATCATAAATAAAGCAAACGAAAGGCCAACATGGAAACTTACAGCTAAAACTCCTTCCAGAAGCGATGATTTAATCTGACAAACTTCATCACAGTGGGTGGAATTCAGTGATGCATTTCCTCCAGCACCTTCAGCAAGAAACCTTTCTATCTCTTGATGATAAGGAAGCTGGATTGATCGGAAAGGATCTGAAACATAGAGAACTGCATATTTCCCCACCAACATCTCCACAGAATTGATAAGCTCACAGAACATTTATATGTATATATATATGTATGTATGTATATGTATGTATGTATGTGTATGTGTATGTATATATATGTATGTATGTATGTATGTATGTATCTGGCAAAGATATGACTTTAAACAAATAGTTTTGATATCATCTAGCAATAAAAAAATCAACCCAATTTCACTTAGTGGTTGGTCAGGTTCTTTCATCAACCCAATTCCATGACAGAATACAACCAGGTTAGGTTGCCCACTTAGTCTCTTCTCCATCATTGAAGCCAGGTAGCCCTGCACATTTTTAACAAATTAAAATTAAAATGGTCTGTCATACACCACCAAAATTCCATAACTAGTTGTCCAACATTTCGATATCATTTACATTAACAGCGTGCAGTTTTGCAAGCTTTTGAAAGCTTTCACCTTCTATAGGGCATGACTCTGAAAAGGAAACATTACTGATTCCTAAATCCTGTCCACAAGCTTCAGCAACCCCAGAAACCAATGAATTCTCCATTGCCTCCTCTGATGCAGCAACATACGGAAATGCAATGGAAAAATTGGACTTTGTAAAAGGACCTGTTCAAAGTAGGAACGTTAACTATAAGAACACAAACAGGCAGGAATGAAGCAATTTCTGCAAATCAGGGTCTACCGATTCCAATTAAAAATCCATTCAAAAATAGTTTGAGAAGCTCTTGTTAGCTTGAGAAAGTTCACAAGAGCTGGATCTGCATTTTTGCTTGCAGTGTGGAAAGCAGCTGTAGAAAATAAATGGTGTGCAATCAGTACCCTAGGGCTAGAAAAATAGCGACAAAGCTGCAAGATATTACACTGCCAATGATATGCCAAGCTAAAAAAAGTGTTCAATTATCAAAATAGACCAGAAAACATTAAGCAGAACGTACCTAGTTACACATACCAAAAATAAAATTAGAATATGAACACCGTAAGATAAAAGCCTCGGCAGCATGTTCAACAGATCAGTCCTATGGAAATTAAAAAAAAATGTTATTGCACTCATGTATTGTGGTTACATAGTTAACTTATGATGAGCCCCAAAAGTTCTTACCCCTCTGCCAACAAAAACAATTGCCAGATCCAAAGATTGCTGAACTTTCTTTTCTGATCACTACATGGAAAAAGATTAAACAAAAAGTAAATAATTGAACCAAAAAAGGAGGGAAACACAAAATTTTCTTCTTCTTATAAGTTTTTTGAAGAAAAAATATTTTCAGAACTTACTATAATACTACGAAAAATTGCAGCAAGCTTTTAGCATGAAGGAGAGCATAGTACCAGTAAGTTTACCCAGCCTCCTTCAGCCAGCACCAACATGGCAAGATCCTTTGAAGAAATGGTCTGATAATTCACTGCTTCACTCATTCTGTTGTTTGACCCGTGATCAGAATCTAACATGTTTAAACATTTCATTTATAGAATAATATGCAGCAAATATAAAGCCAGGAGAACATGATAGGCATACAAAATCTTCAAAATAAATTGAATATCATAGACATCGCATATCCCATAAGCGAAAGAAGTTTGGCTGTTGAAATTCAAAAACCCAAAGTGCGATATTCTTGTTCAGCCAATAGTAATTTACAAGAAAAACAGTGACAATGTTCAGGAGATAAGAATACCAAATAAAGCATGATCTACTGATCTGTTTGTGATGTGGTTTCGTTTTAGGGAGACTCAAAGTCATCTAATTTGCATTGTTTATCAGGAATCTATGGGGAGAAGCAGGTACGCCAGCAAAAACTGGAGGGTTTCTTACTAATCCTATTTAAAGATCTAAGAGGAGAAAGATAGTAATCCACTGTAATATCGCGTATATACGGTCATTTGTTGTGTTTTGCGGCTGAGGAATTTTATTAGCTGATATTCTGTGAGAAAGGAGAACACTTTTGTATTGACATTTTGTTGAAGTTTAAAGGATCAATTTCTCTTCCCCTACTCCAACGTCAATTTCGATATAATTGATTCTCTTATATCACGCACACACACATATATAGCTTTATTATGGAAAATTTAAAAACCCTAAAAGAAAGCATATGTTAAACAACAGACAGGCTGCCAATTTACCGATATAATTTCAAGCAAGAAACTAAATAGCTTAGATTGGAAAATGAAGAGAGAGAGATTCTGATGGCAGTGAGGAGACCAGAGGAATGCTGGGAGTGATGTCGACGGAGAAGTTTTAAGGGTGTTTGGGAGTCTTAGTTATTAAAAATAATATTTTTATATTTCTAAAAATTATTTGTAAATTAATATATCAAAACAATTTAAAATATAAAATAAATTAATTCTTTTATTGAAAAAGAAAGAAAGAAAAAAGAAATCTGCAGGAATGAAAGGCGAGATGCGGCACCAACCACCGTTAACCACCCTATCGCCGCAACCGGTACCATTCTCATGGTCTTCTTTCATCTGAAAAACCCTTCATTTTATTATTTTTTCAAAAAATCATTACAGATTAAATTTTGCAAAATAAGAATAAGATTAATAATCTAACATGAACAATTAATCGGTCACTTCAAGATCCAATATAGAAATAGGAAAATTACTTGCCCTTTTTTTATTAAAAATCAGAATATAAATACACATTACAATGAACTGAATTAAATAACTAATAATCCAACAACTCACTGCTTTATCATTTACTGAATTAAAACTAATCACAATTCTAAGCACATTTCGTTAATTATCTCCATGGACTCTGACTTCTAATGAAATTACATGGGACTTGGATTGGATTGGATTGTTGACAAGACATACTCTAAAACAGACTTACATAGATAATAAATCAAGCCCACACAAGGCTTGCAAGCTATATCCAACACCCAAACCTAAATACCCTTTTGTTTGTTAAGCCCGTGAGTTAAAGGCCTGGAGGCAGGTCCAGACTCATAATAATTCCTCCCCGTTGGAAGACCTTGCCCACAAGGTCTGGAAAGTCTTTTGCCAGCTTACCGTTTCACCCATGAAGTTTATTTTATATATATATATATATATTTTTAGTGATTATTTTTTAAAATATATTAAAATAATATTTTTATATTTTTAAAATTAATACACCAAAATAATTCAAAATATAAAAGATAGTTTTGAATTTTTAAAAAATATTAGTTGGCCCACATTTCCAAACACTTTTTTAGCTAATAAAATATTTGTTTTTATGGTTGTTTTTGTTTTTGAGATAGGTCACATGAATAAATCATTTGTTATGTGAGACTTATTATTATTTACATTTAAAACACAGGGTAACGAAAGGCAAGTTGAAGCTGATTTTCCTTCTTCTGTTGTCTTGATTAATTATATTTTATTAAAAAAATTAATATTTAATATTATTCAATGTTATTGTATAATTAAATCAGAAAAAGATTGCATGACAATATAATATTTATAGAATTTGATTGTAATTTTAATTTTATTTATAATGATATTTTACCTGATGTTATTGCACTCTTAAGAAACTATGAAAATTATAGTCCTTATCGAATAAATTTCATACGTGATAGGATTATAAATAATTTAATAAAACAATAAAAAAATATTTTATATAAAGCATTGTTCATTTTATTATACAATAGCAATAATTAAATTTATAATATTTAAATTAAAAATTATTAGTATTATAACCTTAATTTATAAAGTATTTTTAATTAAATACATTAAACAATATTTTGTTGAACCTCAATTTCAGTCATAATTTTAACCAAATATATATAAATATTAAATCAACCTTAATAAAAAATATTTTTTATAAAATATTTTTTTTAAAATCATAATATCAAATATACTCAACCTTGATAAAAAAAACAACATCTTTATATTTTTATGTACAAAATAGTATTGTGTGCAATATATATCATCAAACTAGAAAATCCCGAATCTATATATTTTAGAGAACATGCATGAGTATTTATACAAATCACAAGTTTAAATTATAATAATATCAATATCACCAGACCATATAATTATATTATATTAGATGAAAATCACGAGAAAATATGATATTTATGACATGAAATCACCATCTCAACTTTTTTTTATATAATCTTTTAATCAAAATCGTTTCATATTTGTAATGCCAAGTAAATCAAATGTTTTCTATCAGTAATGAAATTACAAGTAGCTTAATTAAAGGATAAAAATACAAAAATAATATCATTTTTATGATGAAAATACAATGCATATTAATCATTAACAACTACAAAAATCATATTAGCAAAGCACTTACAAAAATATTTTAAAAAAATAAATACAAACTGCTTTTTAGTCGACCAGAATTTCAATTATAATTTCAACTCATGTTTAAATACAATAAACCACAATAACAATGATTTCACTAGACCTATTTTGTTCCAGCTGCAACCACTACTATCTCTCGAACAAATCCAAAAAGCTTTTGTAGTGACACTGTGCTCATAAAATGTAAGTTCTTTATTGTCAGGACAAGTGTGCCAGCTATTAGCCCAACCTTTGAAATCTTTTATTTATCATGGCCTTTTCATAAAAAAATTAACTTCGTTTGTTAATTATAAAATAATTTCCTTTCAGAAAGTAATTTCTATAAAAAATAAATTAATAAAAGATATTTTTATGTTTGGCAATACAAAAAAAAAATTAAAAAATATTTTTAGTATTCAATCATACCATGAAAAATAAACTAAGTAATAAATTATTAATATTTTTTTTCAAGTTTATTAAAAAATAAGAACCAGATTGATAAATGAGAAAATTGAAGAAAAATAAAATTAAATTTTTTTTTATGAAAAATAAACTAGGTAATAAGTTATTAATGTTTTATTTTTTAAAATTTATTAAAAAAATAAGAACCAAAGTTAAAGAAAAATAAAAATAAAATTTATTCTTTTTAATCTTATAATTTTTTTAAATAAAATAAATAATAATTAAAAAATGAAAATCAAATATGGTAGATAAAAAAGATTTAATTAAAAAAATAAAAAACAAATAACAATAAAAAATTTAAAGATCAAAGTTCATATAAAAATCTAATTCTAAGAGATCAAATACAAAAATAAAATCTTTTAATATATATATTGAGAAGCAAATTGGATATCATTAATAAATAACATAAAATTTTATTTTATTTTTTTACAATTTCTTGAAAATATATTCAGTTCAAAATAAATAAATAAATACTTATTTAAAAACTAAATTAAATTTTTTAATTAAAAAATATTTTTCATTTCTATAGAAAATAAATATAATTTTTTTTGAAAGGTGATTCTCATAAATCATTTTCTAGCAGTGCCAAAAACTCTGAAGAATAGCTCAAGGCTGATGCCCGAACACTTGACAAGACAGTAGATTACTATGCTCCAACCTTGCTCAAAATCCCGTGTCAGTTCATGAGCGGCAAGCCATAACAAAGATTTAGTTTATCGTCAATTTTCTTACAATCTGCCTTGGTTTCTCCTCATACGGTGAGAATGTTTTCACAATGATGCTTGTCACAGTTGATTGTTAAAATATTTTGTTTCATCTCTTAGACAGAGTGACCATGTTGAATTTGCTTGTATCCATGCACGCTTATTTTATACTCTCCAAAGAAGCCAAAACTAGAGCTGTATGATCCATGACCATCTGTGCGACCAATTATCTCCCCAGTACTTTTCCATTCTTTTAGCAGCTTGTCAACCACATCACCTGCAGGTAGCTAGGTTTTGAACATTATAATGGCACATTTGTAGCAGCCGTTAATTAGGATGAAGTGCAGTTCATAGCGTGATCCCATCCCATCCCCAATTTCACCCACCATTAATACTGAACACCAATATTTTGTAGCGCCGTGATGAAAGAAAATGATACGAGTAGTGCATTAATGATGAACATTGACCAACCAAAAAAAATCTCAAAGAGGTTACCGATTATATTTTGTCATGGCATGCAAAGAATTGTGATATACGTTAACTATTCCATACATTCAGAAACTTGTTTGCAACCTTCTTATCGATCCAAGATATTCCAAGCGTTGTGCACATTAACGGAGAAATGTACTTGTCTTTCACTCTGATTGCTTGCGGACGTAGCATTAATAATTTCTCCCACTAATTAACGTCAAAGAATTATTTAAATTAAGTATAATCCAGGACCTCAATCTTGATCTTGATATGCAGGTAGAATTACAAGATGATGGGGCGCCCAGCACATGTCTAAAATTAATGCCAATCGCATGCTTATTACTAATTGCATCTTTTCCCCTCAGCTTTCGCGGCCGGCGTGGAATAATGAATCTTCCCACAGCAGCTGAGCCCTGCTAATTTCCATGCGTGATACAGGAAACACTTTCCCTCGCTGTATCAGTTTAATAAGATATTTCTTTTTCATTCTTCAGTTTACAGCTTCCAAAAGCCACTAATGAAGGTGACAGTTAACAAATGAGAGAACTAACCCTAGCACCCATTGGCCATGCATGTGCTTAGTCTAGCCAGTGGGAGTAGAAAATACTGTACTCTTATATGAAGATCGTGTAATATTAGCACAACTTAATTTGCACAAATGGTTGACTAAGAATGGTCGAAGAGTAGGGAAGCTAGCTGTGCCAAATATGGTGCTCATATTCTGTTACCAATATCAACTCCAAGAAGCAGAGGACATAAGTTTGCTTTAAGATCGATATGATGGCGGACAAGCTGGAGAAGGGAAAGTGAGAGCTTGGAATTTCAACCCCCTCCTATTGGAGACACAGTCTGTGAAAGGATAGCAGGGAGGCGTAATGTTTAGTGTCAAATGTCAAAGCTTTTTGAGTTTAAAATGCTGTGACCAGTGCAAGTTGCACCGCATGTTTTGGAAAATCTTGACAATAGGAATACCAAAAGCAATGTTTTCACATAAATTTGAATTATAATTATGAGAAGCTAGCACATTCCCTCTGAAATATTTTACTGAATGCACTGGAGTTTGAGCCAGTCTTTATGAGTGTTCCTATGGTATCTTGGTTTTGAAAGAATGGAGGTCAAAAAGCTCATTGACTTCACCACTAGGCATCCTAAAAGGAAGAGGACATTTTTCCGTAAAGAAAGAATAATATGGTTCAGGTAACAGTTTTCAGTTTCTGTTACCTGTTGGTTAGCTCACTTGTCTTACAAGTTTCAATTTTATATAATGTGCCCATATATATATATATATATATATATATATTACTGATACACTAATATTTTAACATCCCATTTGCATTTCTTCCCGACTAATCTTCACTTCGCTTTTCATTTGTGGCAGGAACATGAATTTCCTTGGATACATGGCCATGCTGATTTTTCTAACAATTTCAAAGAATGTCGCGGGTTATGGCACTGCGTGGACTAGTGCACACGCAACATTCTGTGATGCATCCTGGACAATGGGCAAGAAATTAAGGCATATCAATAATTAACTGTTTAGCCACAGAATCATTATTAGTTAGTACTTGTTTTCTCTTAAATCTAGCCCGCCCCATTAATTCTTTTCATCACTGGTTGCATCTGTAGGTGGTACTTGTGGATATGGGAATCTCTATATCCAGGGCTATGGGACAAACACAACTGTGCTGAGTATTGCACTTTTCAATAATGGCTTGAGTTGTGGATCATTCTATGAGATTAAATGCGCAAATGACAAAAAATGGTGCTTACCGGGGTCCATTATTGTCACGGCGACGAATTTTTGCCCCCCGAACTGAGCTCTTCCAAATGATAATGGTGGGTGGTGTAACCCTCCACAACAACAATTTGACCTTTCTCAACCTGTTTTCAGCGGTCTCCTCAGTTTGCAGACTGCATCTACAGTGAGATAACCTTTTCAGCGGCGAAGTGTAAGGTGTGACCTGTTTGACTCTGTTTTTTTTTTTTTTTTGTGTGTGTGTGTGTTTTCAAGTTTGGCTGAGGTGAACGAAGGCTTTTCACCCACCCAAAGGCAGAATCCTTCCGCAAAATGATGTCTGGTTTCACATCTGTAACAGAGTTATATAAATTAAGGGAGGGAATGGAGAGAGGTTTAAGGGCAATCCTTTTCTGCTCAGGCATTGATTGAGTTGTAACTAGGAGTTGTTGTTAATGCATTCCCAGCTTCCTATATATCTTGCATTAATTTTGTGCTTTTTAATTTCAATTATGAAGAAAATAATTCTTGCTGGACGTTGGTTTTTTTTTTTTTTTTTGTGTGTGGGGGGGTGGGGTGGT